GAGGCGACTGTGCGCGTGTTGCACGGGTGAAAATTTAAACCGTCGTCGTTGAGGACACACTGCCGAGTCAATTTTGTTCAATAAGCCCTTTGTGCTTCCCAAAAGCTGCAGTGATAGGATCGCTCTTTGTTGAGAAGGCCCGGGGCACGTATGTATATGTCGCCCGGCTACGAGGACTACATTTCTAGATGACAGCATACTAGAAGGGGCAGGAAATGCGCCCATGCCGCCTAGTATGCAATCCTACCCACGGTACATCTCGGGCCTGTCCCATCACCCTGCTGATGCAAGCATGACCACCTCGTGGTGCTGGCAGGATCTCGTAAGCCTTGTTATGCCGCAACCGGCGACGATGTCCAGAGGTGGCACAATACGGCCGGCCCCTTTGGCAAATCTCGCCATGCTACCCCGGCCGACGACCGAGTTGTTGGGCCCGGCCTAGATGGAGTAACTTGGAGACCAGGGCCAACCTGCCTAGGGTATGTCTCCCTTGGTGGTCTGAAGCTTCGGAGGTTCCGGGGCATGTCTGCTTCCGGGTGTGGAGATGACGTTTGGCTTCCGGGCCGGCGGTGGTGGCGGGAGAGTGGAGGAATGTTTAGTTTACTGCGGTGTTGATGGTGGACGACGGGGTTGAGGCTATTTGTACTGTCTTGAGATCAGCCTGGCTCGATTCGAGGTGTTGATTTTCAGCAACAAAGCGCATGCGACTTGATTGTCCTAAACTGCCAAGAGTCTGTTACGAGTTGTAGATGGATGTGCTTTGCATTGTCAGAAGCAAAGGATGAAAAGCCAAGTTTGAGGCGTTACTTTGCCGCCATCACGCCTGCAAGTGACTTTCGCTCCAAGACGCCTGCCTACATGATTGTCTCGTATTGTGAGAACAGCACGTACAGACGCTCCGGGCTGTCTGACCTCTGTCGATGAGGGACAAACTTCTACAATTGACCTCGGTCAGGTGCTTCCTCTGTTCCTCCGATGAACGATGGATCTTACAGATGACCATCTTCAACATTATGAGATTTGGACCCTGTGCCTAGACTCTGACAACAACTATATTCATTCACCTCTATACTATACGCAACAACACGGTAGTCGATTGCATTTTCTTACTTCCACACACTGGAACTCTCTGCACCAGACTCCTTTCCTTTCTGATACGTCTCACTCAACGAACTGTACAAGTCCTTGACTCTCTGAATCTCCTGCCGCCACGTCTCCCTCTCCGCCTCGCACTGCAAGTCGTCCAGCAAGTTCTCGACAGATCGCCCCCTGAAAAACTTGTTCGCCCTATTGTACAGCGCTCTCTTGTGAACCTGCTCGTCGGTCTCCTCGCCCTGCACTCTAAAGACCGACTCCAAAATGTCAATGTCGTAGGGGATGGAGAACAGATCCCTACTGTCCGCGTAGGTGAAGAGGTAGTAAAACTCGTTGAAGCCGGACCACGCAATGCCGCTCAGGCAGAGACTGCACGGCTCATGGGTGGCAAAGAAGATGCAATCCTTCTGTGGATCAGGCCGCGCCGTGGGATCCTGGTAGTCGACGGTGAAGAACTGCTGGATGCAGTTAATCTCGCCGTGTAGCAGGGGAGACACCCGTTCGTTGTTGGTGGCCACGGTCAATGGGCGGAGGGTAGAGCGGGACAGGATGGCCGCGCCGAATACCTTTGAGCCAGAGGCCACTCCCTGCTGGGTGAGAGGCACAATGCGGTCTTCGACTGTCTTGAGAAGCGTCGCGATGAGCTCAGACGTGGTGGCGGTGGCGGCGGGAGACATTTTTGTGGAGTGGACTTCAAGTATGTTTCGTCGGCAATGAATAGTCGAAACATGGGGATTCTCGTGCTTGTCCATTCTTTTGTGTCTGCCGTAGATGGAGGCGCGATACCTGTTGTATTTGAGTATTGACCCGCGGGGTCTGATACCCAAGCGGTGGTTAGGTGGTCGTTCTGGACTCTGGGGTAGGCGATTGCGGCCTTTCATGGCGGCGATCACCGCAGGACCAGCAGCATGCGGCGACCTCCGCCTTGATTCACCAGTCGGTGGTGTGACAAAGAAGCGCGCATCGTGCGGGTTGATTTCATAGCCCTCAATGCAGGTTCAAAGAATCAAAAAAGCTTCTTCTCCTTTGGCGTTGACGGCGTGCAATGGCCCCGGGGCGACGGTTCATAGTTTCTGCCACTTGCCACTTTCATGCGCATGGATAGCATGTCAAAAAACATGACTAAGCCCAAAGCGGCCGTAGAGAATCAATCGTCATGGCCCCCTCTGGCACAAGGTTCCGATTGAGCCTTCGAATTCAAAGCCATCCTCAAACCTTATTCACTGACACTCTATCCATCGATCCATCGTGTCCCGTGTGTTCAGTGCTCAGCTTGGCTGTATATAATCTCTTCAACTTCCCCCCCCCCTTCCTAATCATGTGCTCTTCTTAACTTATTCTTCCGCCTGTACTGTACCTATTGCAACCAGACTGGCTGAGAGAACCCGCACACGCAAACTACGAAATTCCGCACCGTGGTGACTCGTCCGTCACCGGCCTCGCATCACCATGCATTACATTCGACTGCTGCGTGCTCCAAGAATGCAGGTTGACGAGGGGGGCATGCAAGCAGAGCTAGTATTCACAATCACGACTGACCTGGGGGAGTCATTTCTGTGCCCGGAAAAGGCTATTGACCTGGTGGTTACGGCACATGTCACCTCAGTGTCGGAGAATTCATCATGCCTTCTTACCAGGAGGGGGGCCCTGCAGTGGAAGGCTGGTAGACGGGTGTGTAAACCTGTTTTTGAGTTTCCTCCCATGATTCAGCAGGCTTTCATAAATGGAGACTCTGTTGAGCTGTGTATCAGCCCCGACTCGGACCTGTCGGGCGATGAGGTTGAGAGCATTCTCAATTCGTCCATAAAACGCGCCAAAAAGCACGCGAATGGCCTCATTGTGCCTGTTTGGGTCGGCATGAGCGGCCCCGAGGTGGATTTCGACGTGTCCACTCGCCGTATTCGCCTGACGGCTCCGACCGAGCCAGCACAGTTTCTCGAGATCGAGGAGGAGATTGGTGAAAGCATCGCCCGCCACATCTGGGATGCGGGCGTCGTCTCGCTCTGTGCCGTTGTCGGCGCCTACAAGTTCCCCAAGCTCGAAACTAGCCAACATCCCTGCATGAAGAAGCTTCTCAGCATCCTCAACAACAAGGACGGCGTCAGCGTTCTTGAGCTGGGCTGTGGTGTGGGAATTCTTGGCATTGGTCTCTGCGCCGTCTATCCCAGAGACACGGGGGAATGCACAATCTTGATGACGGACGTGGAGGAAGCAGAAGGCAGAGTGCGCAATAACATTGGGCTCCTGCAACAGCTTCGCTCTGGTTCGGATCTCGGCTATGCACAAGTCATGTATCAGAACCTCGACTGGAACGAGGCCAAGGACGGAAGCTTTCAAGGACAGATTCAGTACCGGCGCTGGGATCTCATCATGCTGAGCGACTGTACGTACAACGTCGACATGCTCCCCGCCCTCGTCGGCACCTTGTCAGCCATTCACCGCGCGAACCTGGAATTCACTGCCGATGATGAGACGTTTTCAACAAAAGTATTCGTTGCGACAAAGCCACGCCACGCGTCGGAGCGGTCTTTTTTCGACCTTATGGCTGCAGACGGTTGGACCAGGGAAGAGAAACAAGTCCTGTCGCTTCCTGTCCTGAGTGGAGAATGCGAATCGGTAGAAATGTACCTTTTCGAAAAGGCAAAGGCATAAACGGCTGACGCAGTGTGTCACTCGTTGAAGCTCGTATGACAAAGAGTCAGTACATGTATCGCCAAGGACGACAATCTTTGTCGATGCTTTGATCCGTATTTACGGCCTGGTGGCTGGCTCTCTGTGGTCCACACACCCGAAGTAATACAACTAGGTCAGTCTCGGTGCTTTGTGACACCTGCAAAAGCAAGGAACACCAATGCCAGGAATCGATGTAACGCAAGAAATGCAGACGACGTCTGTCACAGGACTCACAGCTACTATGAATGGGGACGGCACCAAATGAGCTCGGGAGTGTTAGCCCAGCCTCTGTCCAACACTAGCTGTGTTTCACACAAGGTTAGATTATTGCCATTGGTATTCGCAGTACTTGAAGAATCCTCAAAGACCCTGACGGGATGGGATTATGCTCTACCTAAAACAATCTGGTTACACAGTGTTTGGGATAGTTTATTGGCCGGGGTGAAGCAAGGCGCATGGGCGCATTCGAATCGTTTTTATAGACTCGTAGCATGAATGAAATACCTTGTACGTCACCGTACAACTTGTCCACTTTGTTCATCTTATTTTGAAGCTGTGCCACATTGCTATTCGTCCGCATTAGCTGCGGCAAGACGTTGAGGGAGGAAGAATTAACGTACGGTGGCCAGAGACCAGTAAGCTGGTGGTTTCGGATGGAATGACGGTTTGGTGCTATTTACGACGTGCGGACTGTCTTGCCCTCCAGTTTGCAACTTGACGGATAAGCCTGGCAAAATAAAGATGGTGTCTGTTTTGAGATGGAGAATAAAGCAGTCTTACGTCGTGGTCAATCGCACGACGGTTACCACGTCTTCCTCATCGTTATCCATCAATTCCTGCAATTTTTTGGGAAGCGGCTTTCGGACGGGTAGCTTGTCGGGATTAAATGGCGGCGGGCGTAATTCGGAAACGCTCGGCTGGTTCCTCTTGGAATATTGTGATATACACCACGGCGACTTCATGGTACCTTGATGGCGGGAGCGTGCTATGGGCAGAGTGGACGTCTGATTGCCGTTTGACGAGGAGAAATCCATCGAATCCCAGGTCTGAAGGGACTGTGAAATATAGTGTTTGCAAAGTGTATGCCACTCCCGCCTCGGCAGAGTCCGAGGGTAGACCGATATTTGTCCGTTTGGCGTGCCTGTACTTATTATGGAAACTTGGGCTTTTGGAAAGCGACTTACATTTCTGGCGTAGACTTGGCCCGGCTGGAATTACCGAGTCCCAGAATCATGAGCCCAGCGTCAAGTGCAGTCCAGGAACGGGTGTCGACTCGATCCATGACCCGAGCCCGTAGCCATCAGAATGGCCAGAAACAAAGGCATCCGAGCGAGGCTGAGGGTCGTCACTGTGCACTAAGTTCTCAGAGACGCCGGACGAGTCGGGAGAAGGTCTCTGGGGAAAGCTCGGAGCCGTGTCCTACGATATTCACCGTCGGACACGGCACTCGCACCGTCGCCGCCCTCGTCCACGTCCTCCAGTCCGCTGGCGTGGCCAAACTCGTGGATATTCGGTCCTTTCCTAGATCCCGTGCAAACCCCCAGTTCAACCGTGACAGCCTCGTCTGCTCGGCGGAATTGCGGGCAGCCAACGTGGACTATGTATGGCTTGGCGACGCCCTCGGAGGCCGGCGCGGCTCGGTGCAGCCTCGCGTCGAGCAGCACACGGCCATACGGGTTGCGGCTTTTAGACATTTTGCGGGATACATGAGCACGTTGGCGTTCCTCGAAGGCGTGAGAGAATTGAGAAGCCTGGCAGAGGAGTCGCGGGACCGTGGGAACGGAAGGGTCGCCATCATGTGTAGTGAGACTGTGTGGTGGCGGTGTCACAGGCGCATGATTGCCGATGTCTTGGTGGTGAAGGGGTGCAAGGTCGAGCACTTGGGCATTCGTGGCGGGGGGCCTGTGAATCACCGGCTATGGGATATTGCTAGGGTAGGTGACGATGGGCATTTGGTTTATGTTGGTTGTCGTGTGCGGACGGCTCCTGAGTGTGATCGGAGAGCTTGAAGGAACGGCAAAAGCATCCATGGAAGTGTGTACTTTACGAAATTGCGAGGTGCTTTTCAACGGATAAGTTGGCTACAGCTGAAACATGGCTTCAATACTAGATGAATCCTTGGGAAGAAAGTTCAAATACACCGAGAGCGATATCTGGCCGGAAGTTCTATAAAGGAGGCCCAAGTTCCAACTCTGTAGTTACATGGATTCAATCAAGGACACACACTCGGTTTACTCCCTAGCTGCAAGACGACACTTGTATCAATACAACCACATCAATCCAACAGCGTAAATGGAGTCACGACCGTCACTGATAAGTTATAACCAGCAGCAAGTGAAATCGACGGTGGACTCACTCGACACGCACAGCCCAGTGCCTCCATTGCGAATGCTCATCTTCCATTCCAGCACCAACAATCTAACAATCTTGGACCTGCAGTGCCAGCAACTTGCGTCTAGCTAGCCTCAGTATCGACCCTTTGCTCCAGCTCTGTTCCGTCCCGGCCGTGAGTCCCACAGACGACAAGTCCTGATCATCCGCACAGTCGACGAGCACGTCGAGCAGCATTCCAAAGTCGTGGCTCAGCCTGCTGCGGTAGTTCTTCTCCACCTCGTTGTGGCAAACGCGGAAATGTGCCTTGCCGTGCCGATTGATGGCTGCCGGCGTGCCACGCGGGCATGCTTCGCCGCCGTCCGACTTGGAGCGCCGACTCGCCCGCCCCCTTTTGGACGGCGTCCTGCCGCTGGGCCTGTTTCCCGCACCGCCCGCCGGGGACGATGCGCCAGATGCGGAGGGCGAAGGCGGCCACGGTCTTTCGGGGGTGAGGCCGAAACCGCCGGGCGCCTGGCTCGCGCTGGGGCGGCGTGGTGTTTCGAGCGGCGGCGCAGGAAGGGAAGCTTCTGGCATTTGCAGGAGCTGGGGGTCGCTCAGTGCTGAGTCGGCCGGCGAGTAATGTGGCAGATTCATGAGCCAGCTCGCGTGTCCTTTGCGTACTTCCGGCTCGGCCGGCCATGACAAGAAAGCATCGAGGTTGTATGGGTCCCAGGGCGCTGAATCTACATTACACGGGGGGTAATATGATGTGTAGTCGTTGGGTAAGATGGTATTGGAGACGGGCGTCTGGTCTGGGTTTATGTGGTGCGAGCTGTAGGAGCTAGGATGCCATTCCTGTTGCTGGCCGTTAGCAAGGTCCCGTTTCTACGAGTGAAGCGAGGCTCATAAAGAGGAATGCTCGTCATCGTACCGGCCAGTGAGCCCACGCATCGTTCCACGTTGGAACCGTGGTTGAATCCGTGGCCATCTGGTAAAGATCCATCCATGGCAACCAGGAGTTTCAGTCAAGTGCCTGAGTGCGGATAATGTCTGATTGAATTGGGGTACTTTCCGACAAGGTAGGTCATGTATTCATGAGAAGACGGGGACGCCAACTAGCAGTAATTGTCGCTTCGTTCAGAAAAGACTTGTAATAGTCCTGCCGGGGATGTGAATGGGCTTTTAATAGTATAAGATAGTCCGCGACTTATATTCACGTCAACCGCCGAGACACCCGCAAGCCGTGGGTTCCCGATGCGTGCCATGCAAGTTCCCTGAGAATAACTTGACGTTTGATGGCCGAGACCGATAACTATCTTGCCGTCATCCGACGATATATTACCATGTTAAATCCGGGCCGCCAGGCAATTCAACAGCTCCGACCAGGCCCCGAACTCCGAGAGATTGCCGGCCCAAAACCCAATCACATTATCTGGCGTCAACTAGGCGCAGAGCTGGCTTATCAAATAGCAGTGCCAATTCGTGTGCGGCAATGTCGCGGGTGAGATGGTGTAGGAACACCGGAAGCCCGAGTTCTGACCCAAATTCAGTACTGACCATGTTTGCCACAGTTTGCTGTCAACTCTGACAGTATGTAGCAGCAAGGTCAATAGTCGTTATAGAGGGCTGGGTTGACAACTATGTGGCTGGGCGGGAGCTCGGGAAGTTCGGACTATTTGGACCTGGCTTGGGCTAGCACAACGGGAGTTGTCTGGACTGCCCAGGAGCGTAGCAGGTTCAACCAATTAGGAATAATAACTAGGTCTGACCAAAGTTGGCGTGTCTCCCCGATTCACACAGAGCTTCCGTGTGAAAGCAAGTAGTTCCGGGCCCGGGTGTTGGCTTCCAAGTATAGCCCGAGCTGCTTCTTGATGGCATGTCATGATTCAATTCTTTAGAACACACGACCCTTTAAACGACTTCAACACTCAGTCCAACATGAATAACTCGGCCAAGTTTCGGACGCCTGGGGAGGAACAACTCGGAGCCGCGTGAAGCTGCAAGTATTGATACAAAGATAAAGGCCTTGACTCACAGACGACAATACAGTACATTTATTACTCAAGAATAGAATTCCTCTTGTAATCGTGACACTACATGTCTGAAAGAATAACATGTGTGCGGCCAGATATAAAATTCTAGGCCTCGAAGCTGCTTAGAAGGTAGGGTTCCCTTACAAGCTCATCTTCACCGCAAATGCGACGCAACAAGACATCTGCAACAGAGCATCCACATGGGGCCATCGGTGACTGGGGTGACTTTGTAGACTCGGAGACGAAATGTGAGATTGAAGCATCGGCTAGAGGCTCAGACCGATACAACCAGAGACCATACTATCCCGTCTGCACAAGATTCCTTGCTCATAGGTATTACTCCGTACATGGAGCATAAACCGGGGCGTTGCTGGCTTTTCGGCCGTTTGTACGGCGCGAGATACGCTCAACAAGAGAGACGTCTCCTTCAAGCCCGGGTATTCGGCAGAGGATGAATACCCGATGCATATCCAGATTATCGGCTCTACCCGAGATACGTGTCCCGTCTCTTATGGTACCGGGATGCTCTCCTTCTGCGGATCCCACGGCCACCACCGGTTTCTCGTGTTTCCCCTTGCAGAGTGCAAATAGCAGAGATTGCGCTCGTTCAACGCTTGTTGCCGCCTGTATGTCGGCGGTTAGGCATCTGCTGCAAGGCCTGAAATGTATTGAAGATGCTGCCTTTGATGCAACCCCGGTGCATCAGATAAAATGCCATGGAACACAAGTGCATTCTATAAGATGTATGAACTATGCATATTTGCCCCTGCAGGCGGAGCTATCCAGTTTACAAGCCGACCGTCTGTCTGGGCTGCTCTAACGGGCGCGATGCAGGTCACTGAGATGCAAGATTTGGTCTGCCTCGCAACTGTATTCTTTCTATTTTTGGGCAGCGGTAGACATACAGATGAAGCCAAAGTCGTAAGCGGCCAGCCGAGGGGGGCGAAGAGGGCATTCGCCTTGTCCTTGCCAACCGGACGCATTCCGTGCGGGAGGGGGTATTCGGGTGCAGTAGCCGGCACGAAAGGAGTACGGAGTAATACGGAGTATAAATGCTGGTTGGTGACAAGGTCCCTTGTTGGCTCTCGACTGGCCAAGGGTGCTTCGCCCCCGGCACCTGAACTGGCATTGCATTGGGTATGGGTGTGACGCTTGAAGACGAGGGTTGGAAGGGAAGCCAATGCAGGTGTTACCGCGACATGGAGTTAAAGCCACCAAGTCTAGAAGCAGTAATATTAGCGCTGAGTGCAAACCTTGATAGTTTCTTGCGCTGACTGAAAGGTACATACATACATATGTAGGGTTGCTATATCCGTCTATCGCGGCAGCCAAGTACTGCCCTGAGAGAGAGACGACTCGAGGCATGAGACATGCTGCATACTGGCTCGTACCAAAATGAGCACTCGTGTCGGTTCAACGTTTTCTTTTCGCTACCGTAAGTCCATCACGTGGCGTTGAACATTGGCGCCCGCGATACGGCAAGCCACCACGTGCCCGGTGAAACCAACAATGGTACAGCCGGTGTCTTGTTGGGCTAGGGTATATGTACAGGCTCACGGAACATGGTCGATGAGTGAATAAAGGGACAAGTTCTGGTTGAATCTCGGTAACGAGCCTATCTCTTTAGATGCTGAGTGGCTCGTGGAGACTCGCTTACCTAAGAAGATTGTATGGCAGAGGAGTCTCCACGAGCCAGTCCTCATCCAAAGACATTCGTTGTCCCCCCTTGGACAATGAACGTGCTGTGCTGGTGGCTGCTGGTCCGTGCCAGGGTAACTTATAATGCCATTGGATGCTGTCCATGGGTACCAATTGCCATCACCGGGGAACTGAAACACACAGACAAAGAAGCAAGTCCAACAGCGAGTTGGCAGTGGTCGGTGTGAGTCACCTCTCTGCATGGTCCCCTTTGTTTGTGTTTCTCCGAGTGACTCACTAGCTACTACACAGACATGACACGCATGTGCTGTGTATGCACGCCATGGTCTGTGAAGCGTCAAATCCATCGCTGGTCATGGGGGGATATGCCTCGATGGAGCATTGAGTTGGTGGTTGGTTGGTTGATTGATTGATTAGACAAGGACCGTCGGTGACTCATCTAGTAACGACAGAGTACGTGCTAGTGCTAGGACTAGTGCTAGTACTACTAGTACTGCTACTAGTACCAAGCGTTTTGGAACTTTCAAGTTGGCCGTCCGTTGGCCGCGGGTCCCGCTTTATTTCCGTCGCCAAATTGTTCCAACGTTTCCGTCTTGCGTCCGAATAACCCTCCCCGATGCGCCGACTATCCCTTTGCATGTGCGCAGGTCCAATTGATGTATTTAATCTACTTTTTTTTTATGATACTTGAGGATACTTAAAGATACTTTTTTATAAGTACTAATAACTAATATATTTTTATGTACTTAGGTATCTTTAAAAATCCTAGTAACTTTTATTATTGTATAAACTCTAAGTATATATATATCTTTTAAATAAGTAATTACTATTGGCTAGAACCCTGGTCCGTTGCAAAATTGGACCTGCGCACATTCGAAGGGATGTACTGTGAGCCCACCGGTTGCTTGGTAATAATGTAATCCGCCGGGGAAAAGAGAGCACTTGAGGGAACAAGGTGGTTGTGGCAGCTCGCGACTTCGGCCTTGACCTAAACGGCGGCGCATTCGCCAGTTCCGGGACGCCAAGACTGACTATATTGTAGATCCTGGACATCAATTTCGCGCCCTTTGTCATATCACTGCTAGTATTTGTCCTCCAACTCCGTCTTCACCATCTGCCTACATGTCTCCCCCACATGCAAAGGGTCTGGTCCGTCCACATCCGCGTCCACATCTGCATCCACGTTGCCTGGCGCCATGCTGCCGACCCTCCTCCATGGTGTTTCGTTAAATGCCCCCGAGCCGCGCTGCCCAGTTTGATCCCGCCTCTCTTCCCTCCACCGCCATCCATATCCATACATACGCACGGGGAAGGCGTAGGGCCGGCATAGTATCCTTCAGTATCCAACTTGACTCTTCGAGGCGTGCCTTCCCTGTGGACATTCTGGCCACCTGTCACTTGACTTCATCCGGCCGGACTTGTATCAATCCAAAAAAGGAAGGAAGGAAAAAAATCACAGCCCTCCTAATTATCATCACCACAACACCAACACTACAACAACTTCTAGGATCTGCTTTCGCCTCTTGAACGATTCGATGGGACGGCAGCCGGTAGAGTAGGATATATGGCACACCATTCCGCGGTTGGGCAATCCGAGGCCCAAAAAGGACGACATGCACCCACATCCCGATCTCAGTCTCCGGATTCTGCATTGACCGCAGGCGACAACCAAAGTATTGGAAACCATGCCGCTGGCGTGCCGTATGGTGTTTCTGTAGAGCAGGCCGAGGCTGATTTTGTGCAATTGCAAAGGGAGCTCACGGGTGCTTCTCGAGCGAGCCGTAGGCGCAGCGCCGTCAAGAACATTGACCCCGAAAAGGCAGCTCCCGTAGACTCTAGAGGCACAGATAATGAGTCCCTATTTGACCTCGAAACTGTCCTGCGCGGTAGCCTCGCTGCTGAAGAGGCCGCTGGGATCAAGCCGAAGCACATTGGGGTCTGCTGGGATGGATTGACGGTCAAGGGCATCGGCGGCATGGCCAACTACGTCCAGACATTCCCCAATGCA